CTTCTACCTCCCAATTGTGTCCAAAATGTCTTCACATCACCTGAAATGCAAATTACCATTTACAGTTCCTGAGAAGTCTAAAAACATACCTAACTCCTAGTGGACTATTCAAAGGCTCCCATTCATTTAATTTGGAGGCACTTCTGAAAAAACAATCAGTACAGCAGGATTCATTAAACCTCCAGAAGTCTATTCCTACACCTAATCAAGAAAGTGAAACAGAAGTCAAGTGATGAACTGGAGTGGCTTCCAATGGTGCACAATGCTCCTTCATGCAACTTTTTAAGCAGGGGACAAAGGGAGCTGTGGAAGCCTTCCTTCAGAGACCAGCAAATGAGTCCCACTAAAAATTAATCACTGAAACTCACAAAAGCGACACAGGAGAATATTTTCAACTGAATGAACTGAATATTTGACTTGACAAAAGACACTGGGATTTTTTTTAACAGCTGTAACTTCTCTTAGCTGCATAGGCTGACTATCCTGTTCCATCATTAGGTTTGGTATGTTTTGTCGGGGAAAAAACTTTCAAAATACATTGATATAAAAGCAGTTTGATGAATTTTGTTCAACAAGGGGTATCAGCTGAAATAACTAACACAGCCCATATATCATGCCTCCTTCCTCTACTAGAAATATTTTGTTTAAAGAAATGTTTTTTAAGCTACTGGTTTAGAACCTTTGAGGTGCTAAGCCCATCCATGAAGGCTCTTGTTAAAACTTTAGGTGTGCATCTTTGTCAAGGACTGAAAAGGAAGTATGTTTCAGTGTGTCGAAAGATGATGGCAGAAGAAAGAACCAGCTCTTTCTCAGTTTATGGTGCTCTTCTTCAATGACCAAGCACAAAAGCATAAGCAAATCTGTTTTCCTACTCCATTTCTAGAGGTGGAGTCCACTGTCAGCACACTAGGTTTTACATTCCACTTTCAGACAGCAAATCTCTGTTGGCAAATGTGCTGGGATGACGCCATCACAGCAGTCAGTCAAGAAATACTGCATTCTTGTCAGGCTCATAAAAAATATTCCTTCGTTTTTTGACTTAGCAGAGGATGACTTCTGCCACTCAGGGTGCCAGAAGCCCAGTGATGCTATGGCAGTGTGGTTACTCTCAAAAGCACCACGACAGCAGTGAAAGAAGTAACAATCTTCTGTCACCACAACCCCTGCTGCTCGTGCCACCAGCAGCTAAAGGCATAATACTTAATATCAACAGGCAATGATAAAAGTACTTTTCTTTTGTGAAATAGCTTGATTTGGCACTAACTCTCAACAAAATGTAATGATCTCTTATATTAACAGAAATTTTTTTGAACATGTGGAAAGCTGAAAGTCCAATTACAGAAAAAAATCACATCAATTTTTGGAAACTTACACTACTGGTACAAGGGACACCACCTGCCCTGTGCCATTCCCACCCTTCTGCTGTCATTGACAGTATCACAAACTTAAAACAACAAAAGGTATATTTAATATTTGTGTTTAAAATAAAATTTTAGAAATACATTAAATTAAAAATATGCATTTAGAACTTCTAGTAATGAGTTTCTCCATTGCAGATTGAAACTGCTGTCCTTATTCATTACATATTTTCAAATATTTCAATGCATTGACTAAATCTGGATGGCACTGGTGCATGGATTACTTCAGAGAATGGGTGACAGAACAGTTTCTTGTTTCTGGGTCCTCAGCTATAATAATGTGTAGGCCATAGGGAAATAAAACACTCACCCTGGAAATGCCTCCCCAGTTCTCATGCTGGAGTGCCCCAAAACTCCGGCAGCAAAAGCTCCGTTTTGCACAGAGAATCAAAGACTGCATTTTTGTTCATAGCATAATTTTCATTTCAAAAAAGAGAGATGTCCACACCACTGATCTCTCCAGTGCTAATGCTGCTATCACCAATCACAGCCAGAAGGACAGGGAATGAGCAGACACCAGATACATCTAACATGTCAGCACTCAGAACCATCTCTCCAGCTGATGGATCATGGTGTGCACTGGCATCTGGCTGGAGTGATTTTCTTCTCCCTTCATAGAATCCTTGTGACCACATCTCTTTTTTCCCCAGCATTGTGCAGGGGAATGATGCTAGAGCAAGCAACAAGCAGCCAAGGTCAGGGCTACTTACTCCAGCCACCAGATAAACAACCTGGGTGCGCATTTCCTGCAGCGCTGTTTTACAAACCTTACACCATAAAAGGCAAAACTGTTGTCTTCCAGTAGTAATTTTCATATCCGAAGCAGTGCCAAATATACACTCCTCTTTCCCTCCATAAATCCAGATTATACTACCTTCAGTGCTCTCCTCCCTGGAACTGGTAAGATTCTCCTCTTCAAAGAAGTCACACAGCACTACAAGAGGTGCAGAATGGACAAGTAAGTAAGAAATCAGGTGAGAAATTAAAAATAGTTGTAGCTACTAAGATTTTCAAAATTTATACTAATAAATACTACAGTGGATATCAGTGGAGGAGCACTGTGTGAAACATGTTGTGTTGAAACAGTCATTCCCCTTTCAAACACTTGCCCCACGCCTTGTCAAGAGCTAGCTGAGGAAAACTCAAACAAGCAATGTGAGGAAATTTTTTTACTTAGGCCATTTCTTACTGTCCTTCAAGCATGAAGCTGCCACAAGATGACCCAAACTTTCCAGCACATTCAGATGAGCCTACACAACCCCCTGCCCATTAACTCGCAGTTGGGTTTTTTCCCCTAAATTGATGTGCTCAGTACAGCAGTACTATAAATAAATCAATTTATTTAGGGGAAAAAAGGGAAAGCTTTTTTAGGTAAATAAATTACTGAATCTGTTTCCTGCAAGATATCCTTCACTGCAAGAATACTAAGAAGTAAGACAGCACTCTTCGACCACATTGAAGATTCCAAATTTTTATCTCCATGAATCACGGAATCAAATCGGATGGAAAAGACCTCTGAGATCACCCAGTCCAACCTATGACGGAGCTGCAGGATGCCAGCTGGACCATGGCACTGAGTGCCACATCCAGTCTTCCCTTAAACACCTGCAGGGACCGCGACCCCACCACCTCCGTGGGCAGCCCGTAACGACACCGACAGCGTAAAACATACCTTATTTACGTTAGCTGCTTCATCTTTTCTATGCTGTAAGCGAAAAAAGAAATCAACCCCAAACCTTGCCACTCATTCCGGATACCTCATCCAGTTGAACGGGAAAATAGGTTAAGACGGTTGACTCCTAAAAAATGTTTCTTACAAGACTAATGGCTGCCCAAAACACGCATATACACATATATATATATATAATTTTTTAAAGGCTTACTGCTTTTCTCTTCCATCCTGCGGGGAAGCTGCTCGGGGAGCTGTCACCCGCGCTGTGGCGGCGCGAGCGCGGCTCAGGTCGGGGTCTCGCTGCGCTCCGCCACGGCTGCAGGGCCCGCGCCGAGGGCCGGCGGGCAGGGGCCGGGGTGCCTCTCGGGCTCGGAGGCTGGCATGGGGCGTGCCTGCGGCCAGGGCTCGGGCCCCAGGTCACTCCCGCACCCCTCAGGGCCTCGTCCCGGCCCCCACCGGCTTCTGCTGCTGCTTCTTCCCTTCTCCTCCTCCTTTTCCTTCTCCTCCAACGCTGCCCCCCGCTGCCGACCGCCAGGGGGCGCAACCCCGCCGGGAAGCGCGAGCGCCTGGATGTGGGCGGCCCCACATGAGGCGGGACCGCGCGCGCCCCGCCTTTCTCTCTCTTTCCATTGGTTGCGGCGGCAGGAGGGGCGGCGGCAGCGACCAATGGAGGGGCAAGGAGGGCAGGGCGGGGGCGGGGCCACGCGGCGGCGGAGAGACGGCGCAGGCGGGGCGGGGGCACGGCCGAGGGACTGGA